CCCTGTACACAAAATATATATAAAAATACAATCAACGAAAACAAGATAAACCAAAATAAGAAACTATCAAAAAAATTACTTAATCTTCATTGAAGGCTTAATATAATTATCAATACCATATTATAAGTATTTAAATTTCCACAATTCCTTATAAACTAGAAAGAATACTTACAGTATACTCTTGAGCCTGCTTATCAATATATGTTGGCATTTTATCTTTTTCCTTTGGATGGTGCATTTTTTTGGCACGGATCACATCAACAAATGATGGATCCCTATGTTCTGGATCTTTTTCCTTCTGCAAGATCACATATTTAATTATTGTGTTAATTCACACAAACATTATAATTAACAATAAGATTATTATAATCAATATGGGATGGAATCTAACACTTATATGTAAAACTTTTACCAATTTTCTCACAAAGTCATTGTAATCCATAGATCCACCCGTGTGGGTTACCCTAGGGCCCTTTGCTCGATTTGCCTTGGCTTGCTCTCTACGCGCATTGAATTAAGGGTCCTCCGTCCATTTGTAATTTATCTTCTCCCAAACTTCATCAGACATGTATAGTTTTTTTTTTTCAGTAAAATTCTTCTTTCTGCATGAGGTTTGAATATCAGTCATTATTCGGTTATATCTTTTTTCACAAACTCGTAGAAATGCTGTATGAACAACATCCTCATGAGCAGGGTCCCACTTATATTTGTTCTGAAAAATGAAAAAATATTGGTATCATATATTCATGTATTAATTGACACAGAAAAAATTGCACATATATAAATAGAAACATATTGCAATTTATTCAATAAAACTACAAACTCGAAAATCTTGCCAATACACATCCTTGTGCTCATGCGATATTGAGGCCCAACCTGTATATGCATCTCGCATATTGGACTTAAGAATTATTGAAATATCCTTTCGGATTTGTTTAGGTAATATTTTCCCATTCTAGTTCCCTATGCTCAGCTTCTGCGTTGGATCCTCTAGCATTTTTTGCCCTTTAGCAATACCTCGCCCCTTTTTGGGTTGAAGAGGCGAGGGTGCACTTGAATCAGTGTCACTGGCATTATTAGTTGTCTCCATCAGAGACTCTTGGACAATAGTATTGGAAGATCCAGTTGCTTGTGATTGATTTTTTCTAGTTGGCCTTTGGGTGGCAACGTTAACAGCCTTGTCACCCCTACATGCTCCAGGTAAGCAATTCACTGCAACAAAAATACGAAATAATACTACATTAGTATATAAATGAAAAAAATGTATTAGATTTAAGCTTTAAATAAAAGTAAATCAAACATGAAATTTAAAGACAATATCTAACCACAATAATAATCACCAAATTAATTTCTCCATTATATCAATCAACAATATATATCAGTCACTGTGTTATAAAATACCACACATATACACTACTCAATAATAAAAAAGTATCTATGTATTACTAATTAATTAATTACTAATTAATTAATCACTACTATCACTCTCAGATATATATTCAATATTATCTTCCTCAGATGTAGAATAATCTTCAAATTCATCCTCTTCCTCCTCATCCTCTTCCTGATATTCTTTGTCATCATTCATAGACTCAAACTCGACATTAATGGCAGATGCAGTCCCATTAGTATGCTGAATAGGTTGATACAATATCAAATCGGTTTCAGTCGGCTGGGGAGGTAGAGGGTCATCATCTTGAAAAATGGGTTCTGTCTCATCGTGTTGATCTTCTTGCTCATCTGGCATCTCAATAATGCTTCTTGCCCTACATTTCAATGCAGCAAGCCATCCCTTCCTATTAGAATTATGTGATGGATATGGAGTGTAATACACTTGTTTAGCTTGACTAGCCAAGATGAAAGGCTTATAAGTTCTCAGTTTCTGATTTGGATTAATATCAACAAGACAATGTTTTCAGTCAACTACAATTCTTCGTGCAAGAGGAATTTCATACCAGTCACATTTAAATAGAACAACCGTTTGTCGATGTCTGGAGCCAACATATTGAAGCTCAATCACTTCTTGCAATAACCCATAAAAATCCAAATCTGATTCTGTTCCGGTGGTTCCCGTGATACACACACTGCTATTCATTTTTCTCTTATTTCTTCCATATGAGGCCGTGTGAAATCGGAAACCGTTTACCCAAAAGCTTTTATAGCATGAAACCATCCAAGATAGGCCATGAGCCAAACAAATCAAATGCTCATCAATGCCATTAAACTCATCATGTAAAACCTAAATCACGTGAATTATTTTATTAGTTATAAGTATATAATAATTAATTAATAATAACTAAAATAGTTGAATAAACTTACCGATTTTTGAAACCATGATACAAGATATTTGGAACATTTCATATGTGTTTGTTGGGGAGTCATATTTTGACATTCTTCCTCTTCAAAAACCCTAATCAAGCATCAAGCATTCATTATAGTTATGTGTAAATTAAAATAGATAATTTTTTTCTCAAATGTTGTTAAGGATAAGGATTAGGGAAATGCACTCACTCAATCCATCCCTTCAGTTCTTCACAATTCATTATAACATAATACATTGCAGCATTACACTCTTCCATTGTCAACACTCGTTGTTGTTGTAGAGAACCAATTGGTTTTCCAAGATTATTGAAAATGGAAAGGCCATTATTAACAGAAGGGCCTAAGCCAACAAGATTTTTGGGGATGCGATCACCTCTTGTCTCAACTTCTCCTTTAAAATAAAGTGAGATAAAGTATGAGATCTCACTCATTATATAATTCTCACATATTGGTCCTTCTGGGCGGGCTTTATTTTTTACTAAACTCTTCAATCCATGCATTCGTCTATTTCATGAAAAATAAAATTAAATAATTAATATATTAAAAATCATATT